TGGAATATCATTTCCACTGGAATAAATATTACAGTATATGTTCCTAACGGAATAAATGGTGTAGTATATTCGTTCCAACAGGAACAGATATTATGACATTGTTTATAACAAAGTTTCCAGTGGAACTTCTGTTAGGCGGAACAAATATACGTTGACAGAGTAACACATTCTTGCTCTACTCGTGGCAACCGTATTGTTACTCACGACAAGAATGTAGAATCTTATGATAAGGTACACAAAAAATGAAAATCATAAACGAAGAAAAGGCGACGGGATTGTGACTACAAAAATGGATATTATCAAAAGTAACCTGTGACAAATTATTTAGTAACGGTGAAAGTCCATCTTATATTGAAAAAAAAACGTATTGATAGAATTTCAACTGGAAAGCGAAAAAAAAAAGTTATGAAGTACACATAGGTAATTACGTACCGTTTAAAATCACTGCATAACAAAACTGATGATATCATCATGATAGAAGACTAGTTTCTGACAAGTGAACTAAGCTTTAATAACTGCCTGGTACTCAATAGTTGTAATTACAACCCTCTCCTCTTTTCCTCGAATGTGACTTCACTGTATGTGACTTATCACCTATTTTGTACTTAGAAGAGCAACAAGACGGGTGCCACATGAACAGCATAATCTGCTTACCCTTCCGGTGCACCTAAGATCAATCCCGGCTTTTGATTGGGTTCGTGTTACTCAGTCTTTAGTTTTCTATGTTTTGTTTTGTAGACTGTTATTTGCTTTTCGTGATTTTTTTCCATTTTTTTTTCAATGACATTGTCAGGTTGTCGTCGACTTATGAGTTTGATTGTCCGTTCTGAATCTTTCGCCTCTCTTTGTATTACAAGAATAAGAGTTATCAAGACAGACGTGTTTAAGTAGAAAGAGGGAAACCATAAATGTCCTGACTTATATAGTTTTAAAAGGGAAGCATATCGCGCAACCTCTAAAAGACAGACGGAAGATTCCAAATGGATGTTCAAAGTCATGAGTCGAAGACAAACTGACAACGTAATTGCTACCAAAACAAACAAACAAACAAAAAACGACAAAAAACAAAACAAAAGTCTTTTATGAAGACATATTCCATTAAATAAATGAACACTTTTCCTTTAACCTTAATACTAACGAAGTGAATTCCTTCCAATACTTCGGAGGTAAAGTGAAAGGATATTGCGAATTAGTTTAAGACATAAATAAATATGAGAAAAAAAAACAAGACAGAAATTGCGTTTGTATGGAAGGGGCTATCTTGTGATCACAAAGAATAACAATTAAATGACAAAGTGTAACACGATTCACTGAAACACGAAGACAAAAGTCTTTCCGGAGCAGGAAAATGAATAAATAATCAGCAACAACAGCTCTTACTATTTAATCAATTAATGTTGGAGTTGCAGATGATATAAAAAGATATATATCCGACGAACAGCGGCAGAAAAATACAAGCACATCCCGTTAAGGAAGAAATGAAAATTGCAGCGAAGATATGTGATACACTAAGATTTTCTAACTAGACCTATCCTGTAATACAAAAGGTAAAACGATGGAATGAAGGGCTACTTGAAAAGAATGCTACTATTGGCAAACAGAAGGTGCTGACAAGAATCAGAATAAGGCTGTTTACTGGAAAACTACTTCATGGAAGCAAACATTTCCACGTACTTTTTGTATGATAAAACACTTATTTGCTGGTTATTCGAACAATAGCAAGTTTGTCGTCCCCCTCGACACCAACTACTTCCCTTCGATTTTCATCATAGCCAGTAAATTAGTGGATACTATTTATAGGAGATATATGATACTGAACATCTAAATCAAAAGGTCAAAATAGTTCTGGAAATTGTTCAACAGAAGTAGAAAAAATGGAAAACTACAGTAGTATTTTACTACATATATTCACATGCAGTGTTGATGAATTAAAGTAAAATTTGTTTTTCTTTATTTTGCAGAATATTGTTGATTAGGAACGGTCATGGAAAAAATCAGGACCGCCAAAATGTGATTTAATTGTATTGCTTGTCAAGATTGGTTGTGGTCAGTTTTGGCGAAGGGAGTTCCAGTTTTAACATTTTTTTTTAAATACGCAAAAGTTTTGTAATCTGTGAGACGTTATCAGGAGAAGTAGATATTTTTTTGACGTCACAATTGCAAAAATAAAAGGACGGCAAGTAAATTTTAAGCCATAATTGAATTAATTTTTACCAATGAAGAACCGAGAGAAGCAATGGATACCTAAATTATATGTATGAAAAAACTAATCAAATATTCAAGGAAAAAGTTAAAATATACTAAAAATTAGAGAAAATGAATTTTACAACAGTTTATCATTTAATATCATTTTCGTTCTAAGTCTGATTTACGAACTTCAACTTTTAAAGTTAAGATTTGTCCGTTTATTTCTTTTCTTCCTGTTGAACTTACTGCTGTTTCATTTCTTCTTGATATACGGTGAGTTTAGACTTAAATCATAACTACTCAAGTCTTATAACTCTTATCTTATTTATCAATGACCCCATTACTGTGTTTTACTCCCTGGTATGTAGCACTACTTTTACTCCTCAATATGCGTAATTTTTTTTTGCGGTATGGGTTATTATCTCATTGTTGAAGGCCATACGGTGACCATTATAGTTGTTAACTTCTACGTTATTTGATCTTTGGCGGAGAGATGTCTCATTGACAATCATACCACATCTTCTTATTTTTATATCAAAAGTATTGAAAAAGAAAATTTGATGCCTTTATTTTTCTATTTGTAATTTTGCCCTTTCAGTATTTTCTGCGGAGACAAAATTCTTCTTCTATCCACAGAATTCTTTGATATAAATCAATAAAAGAAATAAAAATATGTCAACGAATTAGACAGTTACAAATACTGATTAAAAAGTCAATGGAATCGATATATAACGCAAAATAAAATTAAAAATGCACAGAAAATACAATCTTACCTTATGTCATCATTTTAATAAATCACAACTACAAGTATCATGGAAAAGGAAGGAAGTAATCGATAGATCAAAATCATATGTTATATAATTGAAATGTCGCTAAAGGATCCATGTAGATGTGTTAATTAAATCCACGTGTAGTTTTTCGTGAGTGTTTCGCGAACTGTAAACTCAGCCAAAATATTAATTGTTTTACTAATGTCATTATACAGAGAAACTGTGATAAAGGTATTTCAACAAATGTGTAAATTAAATCAATAATAAACAAATTTCGTGAGTGTCATTAATATATTCATTGTTTTACGTTAAAACCAAACTGTTAAGGGGCCTGTTATTTAAGCACAAAATGTTCGCTTAGGTCGAATATTTTACATTTACGTTTTGACTTGGAAAAAAAAATGTTAGTTATATTAGATTAATATATGGTCCGTTTACTAGTATTACAATGCCCTATTCATAATGATTGATTTATTGATTATTGACGCATGTATATTCCTTGGAGTACGAGAGGAAATGCTTACCGTTCCGGAAAACATGAGTTCAACACCCGCTTTGATTTTTTATTTCCAGTGTCTGTCTTGTGGACTGTTGCCTGGACTGTTACCTGTTTGTTTGTTGGTTTTTTTTCTCTATTTTTTGTTGTTGCCATGGAGTTGTGTACCTTTCTTCAACTTGCGACTTTTATTTTCCCCAATGAATACATTTTCTTTTCTCATACTTAAAAGTTTTTAAAAAATCCCAAATTTTAATAGATATAAGAAGATGTGGTATGCGTGCCAATGAGACAACTCTCCATCCAAGTCACAATTTATAAAAGTAAACCATTATAGGTCAAAGTACGGTCTTCAACACGGAGCCTTGGCTCACACCGCACATCAAGCTATAAAGGGCCCCAAAAATTCCTAGTGTGAAACCATTCAAACGGGAAAACCAAAAGTATAATCTATACAAAAAATGAGAAACGAGAAACACTTATGAACCACATCAACAAACGACAACTACTGAACATCAGATTCCTGACTTAGGACAGGTGCAAACATTTGCAGCTGGTTTTAAGTTTGTTTAAAAAGTTTGTTTAAATACATATAACTGAGTATTAGTACTGTAGTGGTTGTTGTTTCATTGACATTTTATACCTTATACCTCTTTCGCTCATATAACCATTCTAATGTAAGAATAAGAAGATGTGGTATGATTGACAACTCTTCACAAGAGACCAAATGACACAGAAATTAACAACTATAGGTCACCGTACGGCTTTCGACAATGAACAAAACCCATACCGCATAGTCAGCTATAAAAGGCCCCGAAATGGCAAAGGTAATACAATTCAAACGAGAAAACTAACGGCCTGACTTATGTACAAAATCATGAACGAAAAACAAATATGCTATACAGTAACAAACAACAACCACTGAATTACAGACTCCTGACTTGGGACAGGCACATACAGAATGTGGCGGGGTTAAACTAGTTAGATGGCGCCAAACACTCCCCTAACTTGGGACAGTGGTGCAACAACACAACACAAGAACACACTATACAAAACAATAAACGAAAAACAAATATGATAAACAGCAACAAACAACAACCACCGCTCAAGTTTAGGCTCCTGACTTTGGACAGGCGCATATAGAATGTGGCGGGGTTAAACTAGTTTGAAGGCGCGCCAACCTTCCCCTAACCTGAAGCAGTGGTGTAACAGTACAACACAAGAACAAACTATAAAAATCAGTTTCATTTCAATTTCACTGATGAATGACATTGTCATAGCATGTAAGTTAGTTTTTTATTTAATAATTTATCACATAGAAGAACAAAGATAACACTTTATGATTGGCTGTTCTAGTATTGGGAGGTGTATTATTTTATTTGATTGATTGTTTGTTAGTGTTAACGTCACTTTCAGTACTTTCTGCTATATCTTAGCGGAGAGACAACCACCGACTTTCGTGAGAAAAACCGTGACAACTCTAGTCAGTTAAGATCAGAGTCAAATACGCTTACTACGTGCTTACTCAAAACCTCAGTGTTGACAGGCTAGTGATACTGTAGATGAACTACGTAGACCATTCGACCACCGAGGCCCAACGTGTTTTATGTCACGACTGATTATTGTCATATAATTCTTATATGTTTTACATATTAGAGAATACATTGATATGATTGGTTGAGAGGACTTCCGGTAGTTGTTCTTGACGTTGTTTATTTTTCGATAGACGACGTTGACCGAACTTCTTTTCGTAACCAATGTAAACAAGATGGCGGCGATAATGACACAATCCGGATCGACGTTAACAAAATTTATTTTCAATTCGCGTTAATAGGTCTTAATAGTTAAATTAAATAATAAACACAAAACATTCGTTTGAATGATAATAAGAGTTTTTGTAGTTTATTTTTTATCAGATTGCAAGTTTCATGGAGTACATATTTTTGCGTTAACCAACAAATATATTCATGCGCCAGGCCTATTCAATGACACAAATATACAATTTACGTGTGATAGAGGTTACGAGTGTGGAAAAATAAATTCCTTACCTCCAATTTTAAAGAATTATAAGGATTAAACGCCTTTTTAAAGGAATTTATTGGTGTATAAACTGCACCAAGTCACTCACAAACATCTCATAAAAGTCCTTTGGACTTTTATTTGTTTGTGAGTGAATTGGTCGAGTTTAATATACACCAATAAATTCCTTTAAAAAGGCGTTTAATCCTATAATAAAGGTTTTTACTATTGCTTAAATCAAATATTTAATTTCCCCCTTGAATGCTTTCAAAAGAATACTATTTATAGTGCATATATCTTCAAAATCTTATTTTCGATCCCTTATATTGTACTTTATATAATTATCTATACGCATTTTAAACAACTATATACAATTATGATATTCCTTCCGCAGTATCATATACGGAAACCTCGTTACGACTTTAACTTCCTCTATGCGTTCAATTTTGCGCATCTTTTCAGTCCTCTTATACATGTATATATATGTTATAATAGAAACATTATGATTTGTATGTAAATGATTACACGACATATGAAAAAAAAAACAAGTCTGTATTACTTTAAACTTGATCGAGATGGAAACAGTCATGTTAAAAAAAATAAAGTTAAAACTATACACTTGAAACTTTTTATGATAACTGTCATATGGAAGCCAGATGCGGCTAATTTCGCGTTTTCGTTATTTCTCTTTCGCGTTTTCATTATTTCTCTTTCGCGTTTTCATAATTTCTCTTTCGCGTTTTCATTATTTCTCTTTCGCGTTTTTGCGTTTTCGCCTTTGTTTTTCCGCGTGCGAACGGACCGTTAATTAGGCCTTTTGTTGCAACACATACTTGCATGTTTTAGGGTTAGGCTCAGAATCTTTTAAAAAATTCAATTACTTTAATAATTCAGCATATCAGATTATAAATAAAGAGCTAAGTTGTACATTCAGAGGTGATTCTACCTCTTACACATTCTTGTATTTCGTAATTTTTTGGTAGAAATTTCTGAGGACTAAATAATCGTAATACAAGCATTTAAAAAAAATTAATTAATAATTTATTCCTAAATGTCAAAGAATTCAGTATTTTCAGTCATAAGATGCGATTTTACGACTTTTTGCCTCAAAGTCCTTTTTAAATTAGATTTCCAAAAAATAAATAATTGTAAACAAACTTATGAAATTAGCATAACATTTTATTATTTCTTCATATAAAATGTTTTCAAACGCATAAATCATTACTTTCATTCTTCTTTTGTTTTAATCTCAACTACATATAATTTGTGGAATTAAAAAAAATGTTCTTTTTGTGTTATTTGTTTTCTACACATTTATTTTCCAAACATGTTTACATTTATTTCTAATCACATTTACAATATCGTGACTTTTAAACTCTCCTTCACGTCTTGTTTATGTTCAAATTTACCCAAAGGCTGTACATTATCTAAATAGGAAATTGATGATCTAGATCATTACAATGTACAAATGTACCCGAGGAATATTGGTTAAATATGCAATTTATTGAGACTTTTACTCTGTAATCTATAGTAAAGTCCTGCTCTGATAGTCCTGGTCAGGTGTGGGTCCAGGATTTTTGAAAGGGGAGCGTAATTCACTAGAATTGAATCTATACTGCCGGGGTGAGCTAGGCAAAACATTTTTCAGACGATTTTATGATAAAAAATCCTATAAATTGTTGGAAACATGATTTTTTTTAAATCAAAAAGGGGAGGTTACGCCATCTTCGCCACTGCTGGTTACAGTTAAACGCTTTGGGGGAAAAGATTCAAGAAACTTTCCAAAAGGAAGAAATATACTGAAATATCATTTTCAATGGAAGATATAGTACAGTATGAAAAAAAATGTTTCTGTTAGAATAAAGGGTATGGCATATTTGTTCCAAGAAGAACATAAATTACAGCATTGTTTATAATAAAGTTTCCTAGGGAACTTCTGTGAGGACAAATACATATATTTTGACATAGTTGAAATACATACAGGTTAACATTCATTAAGTTTGTCTTTTTCAAGTACATACAGTTTGA